TGGAAAGTTAAAGGAGAGAAAAAAGGGAAGCCCTTTGGGGAGATTTCTGATAGAGTTTCCTTGAATTTCTTGAAGGTCTACAGTGATATGCATCTCTCAATTTTTTTACCAGGGAGATCTTCCTTAGATAATTCAAAACTTTGGTGCTTCTGGATGTAGTGGAGCATCAGAGGGCACTAAAGACAACCTTGTTTTTTGAAAGGTTTAATTAGAGGGCAGGAGGCAATTCACTGTTGGCACTGGATTGCTTGAGTGTTAGAAGGAAAAAGACTTAACATGAGGGAGTGGAGTGAATTATTGATTACTTCACCCATACCTAAGCTTCTTTCGATTTGGTCAGGGAGGCTAAATGAGGCTTGGGTTCACATCCATTAGGAGTGACCTAAGGAGCTAGGCAAAGAGAGTGCACAGTTAATTCAAGCATTAGATCAAGAATTTGACCAAGTAGCACAATAAAAGCTTGATTTAATAGATGACTTGTAGTCGTGGTACTCAATTTAATTGGTCGAGCTATCTAATAAGCTTGGCTTGATCTATATGAGCTTAGGATAGCCTAATGATGTGGCTACATCTTGTGCTTAAAGATCTATCGACTGCAATTTAGCCATGATGCTCACAAGTTAGTTTTGGGTGAGGTTTTGAACTCAACTATCCTGCTCTGAAAGAAAAAAGGAAACCTCAGTCGCCAAAATGGCTGAGGTAAAAGGTTGGGCTTGGCTTTTGTCATTGGTCAAGCTCAGACAAATATTAAGTTTAGTATAGGATTAAGCTTATGCTTGTATTGGCTTTGAATTTGCTTTACTGTCTTATGAATTTCTCCTCTAATATTATGGTTTGAATTAATTAGTTATAAATCATTTTAAATTCTAAATTAAATTATGAATTAGTGATCCTTGAGGGTCTCTAACAATTAAGTATAAGAATTATCAGAGAACAATATCAATTAGTGAGCCATGAAGGTCTTCAATAAATAAGGCCAGTTAAATCATGATAGTTCAAATTGAATTAACCTGTCAACTGTATTAATTAAATCAAATAAATTGGGCATTGAACACACAATGCCACATATTTTAAGAGGCTAATTGGTTTTCATAGACATAAATGGACATCCATAGAAGACTACAAGCAAAATACAACAAAAAACATTCTACATAAAAGACTACAAAAAATATTTAAAGAAGTGTCAAATCATAAACGAGAGTTTCCCCTCTTTTTCTCTCCATAAATGATTAAGAAATTTTAATAATTTTATGAGAAGTCTCCTCACAAGTATTGTTAAAGTTTAATATTGCAGATAGCTCTTAGCTCTTATTACAAATAATATAATATAGTGAATCTAGAAGTCACACATGAATATCATGTACCTTCTATCTTAAAACTCAATAAGATACTAAATTTTCCTCATTTTCTCTCTCTAAACAGTACCTTCCCTTTCTACCTGGGTACTTTTTTGACACCCTTCTCTCAACTTGGTTTTCCATAAAATAAAGCCTTGGTTGTATTCATTAAGGATGACCTTTTAGATAAGTTTAAAGAAAAATAGAGGAAGATTAAGTTGAAGGCAATAGGATCTATTCATCTATTAAGTTAAAGGCTATTAACATTTGCTTCGGTAAACCTCTCTAATCCTCTTTCTCCCAAGATTCATACCCAACATTTTTACAAGTTTTTTTTTGATTCGAAACCTAAGTGATGATACAAATCTACCTAACAAGGCTTTCAATGGAAGTGTGAATGAAGGAAGATGGGCACTTAAGTGGAATGAATATAGGGCAGTTTACCTAGGTCTTTGGAGCGAATCATTATTTGCACAACAAATTGGGGTATTTATAGATATTTTTAATGGCCTTTTATATTAAAGATTTTTGGTGGCAAGACATAAGGATTAAATATATCTCACCTAGCTTCCCCTTGCTTTGAAATAGCTACATGCTTGTAAATCATATGCAGAGATAGATAGAGAGGGGGACAAAGAGTTCAAATAACACAAAAAGAAGGCTAGGGAGACAAGGAAATTGTAGTCTATTTCATTAAGAGTATATATAATGTCAAGCTTACACAATACATAATTCTCCAATTTACACAAAAAAGGTGAGAAAGCATTGTACTAACCAAATTGACATGTTCAAAACAAAGGGAATAAGAAAGAAGGCAAGATGTCCAGTCACCCTTATCTAAAGAAGGCATGTCATTCACTAAAGGTGATATATCCTTAAGTTGGCTCAAAGACTAGTTTTGTTTGATGATGCCATCAAGCCATGCCAAATCACATTGAAGGTGTATGATTTAATGATTTTCACACAAAAATTTAAGCTCATTATGTTATTTTCATATTTTAATTTGTAATCCTTGCTACTATTATCAAATTTGATCTTCCCCACAATTATTATAGCTTCGGTAATCACCTTGAAGGCATTTTGTATCATAAAAGAGCTTCCATACTAATTACATAGTTCATTAAAGTAGAACTTTCCTCAAATTATATCTATAGAGCAATTATTTACCTTTGAAACTGTGTCGTATTTTAGATCAAATCTCTGGTGGCCTATTTTTCTTTTTCATATTTGATAAGTAAAATTACATTTTAAAAGGTGATATATAAAATTTGACTTGACATAATCCTTCAACTTAGAAATACATCATATATGTGCATTAAAAAAGAAAAAGTAGAAGCAATACTTTGAAGTTTGAATTCCAAATTAATTATAAATGAACAAATATACCCCAAAATGCTCAATCAAGTTATAAACTACCTTAACATCAACAATGTCATCATAATAAGGCAACTCCAATTTTGCATCTATCTCGAAAGGGCAGCGGTGTGTCTTATGTGTTTGATGGATTCCTTTCAACATCTCTTCTACTCAATTCACTTGTTTCTCTTGTTGAGCCTCTATAGTTTCTTAAGGTTTTAAGCGATACAAGGTGTAATGCTTACCACAAAAGATAATACCTTATTTTCAACTATATTTCTTCACCATTCTCTCAAATATTTTTTTCTTGAATCTCCATAAGTGGTTATGGTGGTCTCTTTGATTGATATATGTTTTTCCATTATTATACAAAAGTAATCTAAAATCTAGGTCATAACATCGATCATCTCATTTAAGCTTTGGATGGAAGTGCGGATAAAGCAGGGTAGGCTCTTAAGTAGCCTAATTTTATGAGTTTTTAACTAGACATTTATAATGTTTCTTTCATATGTTGAGCGATCATTGATCTTTTTGTGAGTGGCCTATCATCAGTTGAGTTGGCGTTAGTTCAAGTGTGGAGCGTTCTTTGGTTTGGGAGTATTTTTATTTAGTCGGCCCATAATTCAACCGGCCAAAATTTGATCTTCTTTGAGTAATCCATTGGAATTCATCGAGATTCATGTAATCATATTTTTATTGTACAATATTAGTGTTAAGTTTACTTCTAGTTGTGATTTAGCTTAAAATTTAACTCGTAATTGTAGGTTAGGTTTTATATTAGATTATATTTTCAGTTATTGTAGGTTAGGTTTTATATTAGATTATATTTTCAATTTAAGTAAGTGTTGGATTAAGTTCAAATTCAATTTTAGTTAAACTTAGGATTAAATCAATTTAAGTTTCACTTTGTTTAAAGTTTCATTAAGCATAGATTTCTATAGTTATTAAATCTATTTTATTATATGTTTCATTCAATTTGAGATTAGATAATTACCTTATTTATTTGTAAATTAAAGTTGATTTTAAATGCTTTTATATAAGGTTGAATTAAATTAAGTTCTGTATCATTCTTGGTATAATTAAATCAAAATTCAATTTAAATAAATTTTAAGATTTAATTTTATGTTCGATTTAAACTAAGCTAAGCCTATCAAGACATCTAAGAGTTAATTCAAACAAACACAAATCAGCCAAGAGTCAATCCAACCAGACTTGAGTTAGTAAGACCAAGTCAAAGTTAATGAGATACGACCCTAGCCAACCTGATTAGGTCAGGGGCAAGCCCAAAGAGGATCCTAGCCTTGATAGAATTGACCAAGAGCCAAATGAGAAAGAGCTAATAAAAAATGAGGTCAACATCAAATATATTTCTCAGCTAAAGCGATAGAGGTCTACATTTAAAAGAGAGATGGCAACTTGAGGAAGAGAAAGACATATAGTATTTTATGCTCATTAATAGGGCTGTCAAAGAAGCTCTTTGTTTGCAAACAAATCATTTTCGGGTCAATTAATATCTCGTGCTCAATTCGTTTAATAAGCAAATGAGCCGAGCACATTAATTTTTTAGGTCGATCTATCAACATGTCGAACAAAAAAAAAATTTGTTAACTCATTTTGGCGCGAAATAATTATATATATATATATATATATATATATATTAAAATATATATATATATTAAACTTTATATGCATTAAAAATGTAAAAAAAATATTTAAAACTATATTTAGGTGGTATAATTATAAAAAAAATATATATAATTTTGGGTGTTAGATGTAAATAAATAGAATTTGAGTGATATGTACTCAAATGGGTCTAAAAAGTTTAAAGTAAGCTCCATTTTGTTACATGGAGAGCACAGTCATACATTGAAAAGACTGAAGTGGTGAGAAAAGCTCTATAAAATCAAAAGATAAATATTTCTTTCACTAGAAAAATATACATACGCCATTTTAGGCCTTGAAAAATATTTCATTGATAAGCTTTGCATAGTTATAATATCTACGAAATACATATATATAGGCTGATCACTCACAAGTTATTTCGAACATGATCACTCAAAGTCAGCAAATTTATTCGCTTACTCATTAATTTATTAGAGCTAATTTTTCTTAGGTGTGTATAAATTTATATTTTCCATTTTATCTAACTCGCATAAAAAAGAAATAATATAAAAAAACAATACAAAAATAATACGATTAATCGTATTATTCAACTAAATTTAGAAAGAAATAATATAAAAAAACAATACAAAAATAATAGGATCAACTAATGTAAAATTTAATAGCACAATAATACAGATGGCACTTTTTAAAATTTTTAGAAGGTAGCGATGGCTTTTGAGACATTTCGCAATAAAAGCTTCAGACGGCGCAGCATTTCGTCTCCTTTCCCGATAAGCTCAGTGATTACGGGAGTGGCAACGCCTAGGGCATCGAAATCCGAGCCTCTCCCTTCCTTTCTCTCTCAATTAACTAAACTGCGCTTTTTCTACCTGCTTCCCTCCTTCTTCTTCCTCCCTCGCCAAACCCTAACCCAAGATTCCCTTTTTCTCACTCACTTTTCCTCCTGCTCTCCCCTAACTGATAAGGGCGGACCATCAAGACTAAAGCACGTGCTGTTGATTACTGGGAGGTGCAGAGTCCGAATTTTCCGCTAAAAGATCAGCTGGATCCGCAGTAAGTTTAGATCTCATCACCCCAGCATCAGACCTTGTTCGCCGGATTATAGGGAAGGAGTTGGGTTTAGGGTTAGATTCTTCCGCGTTGATGCTTCTATTTTTGCATTTTATTAAAAGAGGAGCTCTTCTTTTTGTTTTTTTTTAATTTTATGTTAATTAATTCTGGTACTAACCTCCAGAAATCGAGCTGCCTCTGTGCACTTCTGTAGTGAGGCATCTGCCTTCTGCCCGCTTGCAGGTGGCAGCAATTACAGGAAGCGGAGGGTTAAAGTGCTTAAACCAAGGGTACTTATTGAAACAGCTAAGCTCTCCTCCTTATCGATGATGTTTGTGATAGAGCTGCAGAAAGTTAAAGCTGCGAGCTGACATCGTCGGCCATGGATGTGGCAGCTTTCAAAAGTCTCTTCTTTTTTTGTTTTTCAACTGCCCCATTCTTCTTCCCTTTTTATCTCCACACCCACTCAGCAAAGGAATAACGCCATCACCATACATCCTCATTTCACCAGCATCTCCCTCTCTATCTCTCCCTTCTTCCCCTTCATATAGTCACAGGAACAGTAGGGGAGAGGTTTTAAGTGTAACTAAAAAGGAATGAGCTTGGGTTAGAGATGGAGGTGAAACGCCAACCCAGCAAGCGATCCCGTTTAAGCAACGCAGACAAGGGCGACGAAAAAGCGCGTACAATGATCTTATCTCATCCATCGGCCCGAATCTTTAGAGTTTCTCGAGCTTCCGGCGGCAAAGACCGCCATAGCAAGGTGTTCACCTCCAAAGGGCTCCGTGATCGGCGAGTTCGCCTCTCTGTTTCAACCGCAATAGAGTTCTACGACCTTCAAGACCGACTAGGTTTCGACCAGCCCAGCAAGGCTATTGAGTGGCTTATCAAGGCCGCTTCCTCCGCCATTGCTGAACTCCCTTCTCTTGTTTCTTCCTTCCCCGAACTCGCAGGTGGTAGGATGAATGCTGAGACTGGTAAGATGATCGCCGAGGCGGAGCCTGGTTGTAGCAGCACCTCAGAGACAAGCAAGGGTTCAGTACTATCCCTCTCTCGCTCAGAAATACGCATTAAGGCGAGGGAACGAGCTCGCCTTCGTACTGCAAAGGATAAGGAAGAGAAGGAAGAAGATGACGGAGATCATCTTGATGCCACTGAACAACATCCTCAGAATATGAATCAGAGCTCCTTCACCCAACTCCTAATTGCAGGTTCATCGAGCGAAAGAACCCAAATTCAGGAAATATTGCGACCATCTACTGTCACCGCCGACTACTTTGGCCAAGCCGGCTTCTTTGCTCGAACTCAACTACCATCTTCGTTCTGTTCCACTAAAGGTCAAATTTTTGGCAGCTATTCTCCAGTTGGAATGATGCCTTACAATATCGCTGCAGCCACAGGAGATAACTCGGATATGCAACAGTTCTCTTTTATAAACGAGCACATGGATTACAACCTCAACTTTCCCGGTTTCCACAGGGGGACCCTTCAGTCCAATCCATCACTTCACTCGCCATTTTCTCCCTCTTCTTCTTCCATGGATGTGCAAAACGTGCCTTTCTTCTTCGGTGCAGCGGCTCCATCGACGGAAGCTCATTTTTATTCTATATGCGACGGTCGGCTACAGCTCAGCAAGGAGCCCATAACACCGTTCTGCCTTGATGGTTACAGGCCCCCGGACCTTAAAGGAAAGAGAAATAGCTGATTTTGAAGACATGGCAGTCATGGACCTTTCAAGTAATTGCTCTCTTTGCTGGTAAGAATAAAAAAGCTTCAGTTCTGCATATTTTCATTCTTGCAAATGCACTTTATATATTCATTAAATCAATTCAGTTTTTATATCATAGGACGTTATTTTTTTATTTTAACTCAGAATTTTAAATTCTGAAAATTTATATATTGAAAGATTATTTAAGATAGCTATATCCTAAATTTAATTATAAAAAAATATTTCTTTCTCCTTTCTTAAATTATCTAGTACATTTTGCCTTGGGGCTGAGGATGCGCAGACCATTTTGGCATTTTGTGTTTTTAGCGACAAAGTCTACTTCGTCTGATCCTCAATCTTAGGTAGGCTTTGTTCTTATCCACATTATTTTCCGCACGAGTTTTGATGATGCCTTCTTTCATTGTCCGTGACGATATCAACGGTCGTCAAATTTTGAATCTTTCTTGTGTCTCATTTCAGCCAGTTATCGCACTGTTGGCTGTCTTTTTTTTTTAAATATATATAGAGAATATTATCTCTGCTGCGAGTTTACAGAAAGCGCAATAATTTGAGGCATTTGCTTGAATTCCAAATATTGAAGGTCTTGTAAGTAAAATGTTCAATCCGAATTCAATATATTGGCTTAAATATACATTGTACATTTATTTTTTTATATTGGCATATATAAATAAATAATCAGTTAAAAGATGCCTTGTGATAAAAAAATGTGATGTTAATTCATTATTTTTTATTATATTGCTCGCCTTATATATAATATATCACATAAAAGTACTGAAATCTATTATTCTAACCTTTGTTTAACCATTTAATCTGACACCACACCGTATATCATGTCTGTAGACTTTATATAATATGATTATTATTTTTTAATTATGCTTCCGGGAATTTTGTTTTTTTCTTTATGACTAAATTTGAACGTTATTTAGCAGAAGTCAAAACTCCCCTATGCTATCTATAGAATGAACTTTTTGCACTTTTATATGCTGCTTCTTATTGGTTATTTCCATGATAATATTCTTGCATGCATTATTTCTGTACAGCTCAAAAACTTGGCAGCTTTTAGAACAACTTTTGGCCTTTTGTTCTTCTGAATTTTTATTTCTAATAATATATTCGGTTTCATCTGTTCTATGCTGTCCCCCATTTTAATAATATGTCACTTGCTTATGCCTGCAATTTTTTTTTTCAAGCCCTCGCAAATGTTTTATAGTGCTGCTGATCTTTCTAAGTATGGAGATTATAATGTAACTATCTAATATGGATAATGAAATGTTAGATTTTAAGCAGAAAAATCCTACTCTATTGCGTATGAAGTGGAGATAAACAGAAGACTTGTGTAAAGAGATAGAGAAGTAACTGTATTGCAAATGTAGCATAGAAGATAAACTTGAAGAACTGTATTGCAAATGCAGCATAGAATTAGTGACTTAGCTTCATGCTACTTTATACTTTAAAAAAGGAAGAAATTATTAAGAATAATAAAATTAGTTTTACTTAGTGTTGAATGCTGAAAAATAATCTCCTTGTGAAAATTGAATATGAAGGATGTGATAGTTAGGCAACTGATAAGTTGAGTGTTGGATGACTGGTTGATGGATGTCAGGCGATTGTCAGAAATAAGGCATAGTTGGTGGCCATGTACAATAGAGTTTTTCATTTGTTAGTACAAGATTTTCAATTTTATGTTTTAATTAGGGAGCTTGGAAATTTGGACACTATCCCTTATTCTACTCCTATGGATGTTCCCCCCATTGTTCATGCCACTGAGGAGTCCCCTGTTCCGTTGAGTGCACCATCTCTTCCTCCCACTGTTTGTATCCACACTCAACACACCTGTCCCAATGCTCATACTCTGGAGCCTACTACCTCCATACAGAACCTTGACTCCACTCTGGGTGACATCCTCAACACAACCCCTCCTCCAAATGAGAATATGAGTTCTCCGTGTAAGGCATGCAATCAGACATGCTCTCCCTCTATTCTTTGTCAAAATATGTCTTTTTCCTTAATTTATCGCCGAATTATAGAGTATTTAATACTGTCATGACGGACTATCAGATCCCAACTACTATTGAGGTTGCTCTTGCTGATCTAACATGAAAAATGATGGAGGAGATGAATGACTTGGACGGAACCATATGTAGGACATCGATGATCTTCCTTGAGGTAAGAAAGTTGTGGAGTGATGATGAATTTTCAACACCAAGTTCAAATTTGATGGATCCTTTGAATACAATAAAACACAATTAGTCTTCAAATGGTACTCGGAGGTCGACGGAGTTAACTATGAGAAGACATTTGCTCCAATGAATAAATTAAACACTATTCTGTTGTCCCTTATAGCGAATCTGGATTGGTCTTTATTCCAGCTAGATGTCAAGAATGCGTTTATGAATGGAGAGCTTACAGAAGAGGTATACATGTTATCCCACCTGATTTTGACTCTACTGCCTCCAAAGGACAAATGTGCAGGCTGCGAAAGTACTTTTATGGGCTAAAACAATCCCCAAGGACTTGTTTCGACAATTCACAAAAGGTGGTCGCGGGTTATGGTTTTACTTAAGCACAATCGTATCACACTCTCTTCTTTCGTCCTCCAATAATCAGAATATTCTTATTGTCTATGTTGATGATATTGTTCTTACAGATAGCATTCTCTCAGCATTGGAGTCCTTGAAATGCATTCTTTCTAAGCCTTTTGAAATGGACTTGGGTCTCTCCAGTACTTCTTAAGCATGAAAGTGGCGCGGTCATCTCGGGGCATTTGTCTGTCTCAGGTCAATTATGTGGTTAATCTTTTGACAGAGAACAATATTTTTTTGTGCAAAATAGTGGTTGTCCTTATGGATCCTAATGAAAATTATTTGACATTCTCAAGTCAACAAGATTCATTACCAGCGTAGGGAAACTTATTTATTTTGCTTATACTCACCTCGAGATATGCCATGCATTTGGAATAGTGAGTAAATTCATGCATGACCCCTATTAGCACGATCTCCAAGCTGTGCACTGGATTCTTCACTATTTTCAGGTTAGGTTTTCTCTCGTCACACCTCTCGGTCAATTAATGTTTATATAGAAGCAAATTGAGCCAAGTCGGATCATGATCGACGTTCTGTCTTATGGCATTGCTATGACATTGCTCATTTATATGGGAAAATCTTGTCACGTAGAAAAAAAAAATGGTCTCTGGTTGCTTCGAGCAATGCTGTAGGTAATTGTGTTCCATTCAATTGAGGATTTGTGAAGCTCATTTATATGGGAAAATCTTGTCACGTAGAAAAACAAAAATGGTCTCTGGTTGCTTCGAGCAATGCTGAAGGTAATTGCGTTCCATTCAATTGAGGATTTGTGAAACTCTCTTGTTGCGCATCATGCTCTGCGAACTTCATATGTCAATATCTGTCCCACTACAACTATTTTATGATAATAAGACCGCTATCAACGTTGCTCATAATCCAGTCCAGCATGATCGTACCAAACACGTGGAGATTGACAAACACTTCATTAAAGAAAAAATTAACTAAACAGGGATTGTTTTTTTCTGTAAGAAAACCAACTGCAGATTAGAGGAACTTAGGGAGTACGTGTACAGGCGCCGAGGAGCGCAAGCTGATAAGTATTGCAGTTTAATTTATTTTATATTTGAATGTAAATGTTTAAATATGAACAATCTATTGAAAATATAGTTTATAACTAGAATGACTTTTTTGTACTTTGAATTTTTATTTTTATTTTTGTGACAAAACTTTAAACTATATAGGGTTCATCCGTCCTACCGTCAGTTCTCGTCTAGGTAATTCAATGCTCACCTGAGCTGTGACAGTATATGCAATGCATAAGAGTGGTGTGATTTGTATTTAAAATATAGGTTTAGGTGTTGATATGTGATACATAAGAATTGTGTGGTTTGTATGTAAATATTGAAGTTTAGTTGTTAGACATGTAATACATAAGAATTGTGTGATGTTATGAAAAAAATGAAGTTTTGGTGTTAGATATGTAATGTATAAGAAATGAGGGGCGTGTATGAAAATTTGAAGTTTAGGTGTTGTATATATAATACATATGAATTATGTTGACTTTATGTACAACAGCGACAGCGAAAACAAAACCTTTTATCCCACTATGTGGGATCGGTTACATGAATCCTTTTTTTCCATTGCGTCCTATTTAGTGTCATATTTTCATTTAATTCTAATAAATTAAGATTAATTTTTATACAATATGCCCAATTCATCCTAGGTCTACCTCTGCCTTTCTTGACATAAGTCGAATCTAAAACATCTATTCTTCTAATCAGATCATCAGATGGTCTACGTTTAATGTGACCAAACCATCTAAGACGACTCTCTCAAAATTTGTCCGTCATTGGAGCTACACCAAGCCTATCACTGATATATTCATTTCACATGTTAACTTTGTAAAAAAAAAAAATATTTAGGGTTTACATATGTAATATATAAGAATGGTGTGGTTTCTATTTAAAATATATGTTTATGTGTTAGATATGTTATAGATAAGAATTGTGTGGTTTCTATGAAAAAATTGAAATTTGGGTATAAGAAAGGTAGCACATAAGAAATGAGTGGGATGTATGTAAAAGTTGAAGTTTAGGTGTTAGATATATAATATACATGAATTGTGTTTTATTTATATACAAATCATTATTAAAGTTTAGGGTGTAGATGTGTAATAAATATGAATTGTTTGATTAGTATGTAAAGTTCAAGTTTAGGTGTTTGATATGTAATACACAAGAATTATGTGGTTTGTATGTAAATTTTGAAATTTGGGTGTACAAAAATGCATGTAATACATAAGAACTGAGTGGAAGGAATCTAAGAATTGAAATTTATGTGTTAGATTTTTAATACATAAAAAATGTGTGGTTTTTATGTAAAACACCTGAAGCTTACATAAGAAATGAGTAGAATGTATGTTTGGGTGGTTGTATGTAAAATTGAAGTTAAGGTATTATATGCATAACACCTATGTAATACATAAGAATTGTGTGATTTGTATGT